TACTGGCAGAGAGTAGACATGCGTACTGGCAGACAGTAGACATGCGTACTGGCAGACAGTAGACATGCGTACTGGCAGACAGTAGACAAGCACACTGGCATACAGTAGACATGCACACTGGCAGACAGTAGACAGGCGTACTGACAGACAGTAAACATGCACACTGGCAGACAGTAGACATGCACACTGGCAGACAGTAGACATGCGCACTGACAGACAGTAAACATGCACACTGGCAGACAGTAGACAAGCACACTGGCAGACAGTAGACAAGCACACTGGCAGACAGTAGACATGCACACTGGCAGACAGTAGACATGCACACTGATAGTAGAAATGCACATGTGTAGCTAAGGGTCACAAGCCATGGCAGCATCTGCAAACAGGCAAGTGGCAGGTTAGTCACATGAAAGAGCTGCACCTTTGAGAGCTGTTCCTGACAAAGATACAAAAGAGCTTTGCCCTTCTGCCTGGCTGTTTTTTTTCATCGCTTTTCGTAATTCACAGAATGGAGCCGGTGGTGTTTATATGTACCTTTGCACCCACATCTGACAAGCTATAATACCATGCACCTTATTATCCCTTCTATAATGAATTCCTTCATCTTTTGTCAAGAATTTTCTCTTTTCCTAATGTGAAAAGCCTTCAGCTCCCTCTCTGTACATTTTAATTGCTGGGCAGATGATTAAGGGCTAGGAAAATGATCAGCAAAGATGACGGTGGCACCTTTAAGGCTCAAAGGTCATCTTTTTGACTTCGCCATGAGACAAATACCAGACTGATGGTGTGTTGGCAGTAATAATTATTATATTTAATTTGCAACTTTCTCACTCATTCATAACAGTGGCACATCCAAAACTTACATGAACATGCTGGTTAATATGGCACTTCTGCATTTTACATAATTGTGAACAATCTAATGTATTATAATAATGGCTTAAGATCATCAAAAAAATCAGAAGAGCCCCCATTTTGTTGAACTGTGAATTTTTAATACAGTTTGGTCTCCACACATTTGAAGTTGACCCAAACTCTGGTCATCCTGATGAGCTGGTCTGATGGGCGTATGAAAGGTCAGGCTCTCCTTTCTCACTCTTGCATTACAGTGCAGGTATTTTCCTTTAAACCACCTGCCCTCCATTCTTCAAAAGCTCTTTTGAGTCTTTCTACGTTCTCAATGATTCAAATGCAACTTTAATCTCCTACCTGTCATTTTCCAGACCCGCACCTTATGCAGGATGCAACACATTTAACATTTGTTATTGTGCAATGAGAGAAACTGAAAGAGCTGTAACATTCTGATGTAATATTTATTTACTGTCTAATCAGAAGACAAAGGTCTACATGCAGTACAGCTAGAATGTAACTATGGATCAAAAATGATTTTATTGAATGCAACAAAGTAGGGTTGCCCAATCAAATGTTTAGAAATGCTTTCTCATTTTTCTCATCTTTTTTTACTTCTGTCTGCTTTGTATCATGTCTGCTGTTTTCATTTTAGTTACAAAGCATAAATAAATAAAAAGAAAAAGAATCAAGGCTCCTTGCCCACATTTCAAAATTAGATTAAGAAATTGCATACTGTCACGTGCCGGGGGGGGGGGCGGAGGATGCAGAAGGAGGATTAACAGGAAATGTAGGGAATTTATTGATTTGAAATCAAAAGAACCAGGGCAAGAAGCGAAAAGGGATCCAGATCCAGATCCTGATCCTGATCCTGATCCTGATCCTGATCCTGATCCTGATCCTGACACTGCAGGGAGCAATGCACTGGGGAAGTGGGGAAGACGAGACAGGCACTTATACACTGGGTTAATGAGGGGATAAACGGGAGGCAGCTGGAGTGAGTTAACAAGGGAGCATGAAAAAGAGGAGAGACAAACAGAACAGGTTTGGCTCATTAGAGCCCTGTTAGGGAGAAAGGGGAAGTGCTGGTAAGCAGGACGTGTCACATACGGACTCTCACTAACAGGACAGAGGTTAGGGAAGAAGCTGTTCCACAATTTGAAAGAGAAAAGCTTGTAAGTTTAAATAATGTTCACATACTGAATGTCAATATGTGCAGTTTCACTTCTTTATTGGTCCCTAATAAAAGAATAGGGTGACTGGGGCAGGTCCCAAAGCCCTCGCTAAAGAGTGTAGATGCAATTTATTTTAAATTAGTTTAAAAATGAGGGACAGCAGCAACCTTGTGACTAAATTATAGGCTTGTCTTAGCAGCCTCCTGTCTGATCATCAATAGCCTTAAGGAATGAATGGAAGAATCATGAGCAGCACTGAGCCTTTTGGTGACGTGACGCATCAGAAAATGTCCTTGCTGAATATCAGTGCAGCTGCTTTTTCAGTGCAGGGTCACTGTTAGCCTGTAGTCTGTGGCAGGAAGCAGGTTCTATCACAGGGCAACTTGGTGAAAATGTGCATATTTATATTAAATATACAATATATGTTATCAGCATTAGTAATGTTATGAGTAATTTAATAGATGTGTATAGTGAAGTTCAGTGTTCAAACTAAACCGCTGCGTTTAGTACATGACACTGAAAATTGAAATTTTGATGCTATTGATTTAAGTGACAAATTATTAAAAATTCATCACTAGTATGTTAAATTATAGAGATCTACAAGGCCCAGGTGAAATGAGCAGGTGCAGAGCAGGTGGAACGCAGGAACGGAATCTAATGAGAGCCAGCAGGAGCCAGGTTACCCGAGACCCTCCAGGTACCAATGGCCCAGACAAGGGGCTACAGCATCAAAACATTGATGGCTCAAGCCACCTCCAGCCAACCTGTACCGGCTGTGTACCGGGTTCTTGAAGTCATAGCCAGGGGTGACCCAGATCAGCAGCTCCAGACATCAGCCACAATCATTATAAGCATGTATCTAATGGTTTGGCACAAAAGAGAGACCCCTCGAGTGGTTGCCGGGCCTTGATGACATCACCAGTACTCACCTTTAAATCTCACCACAAAGTATCCTCCTTGAAAGAGGTTCAGAAGGTGTTCAGATCTGTTAGAACAGGCTCAGCTGCTGGCACTCATGGAGCACCTTACAAGGCTATGGGAGGTACGCCAAGGGGTCGAAGCATGGAGAAACCTCACGGTGGCAGAGGAGGAATGATTTTGTGGTCACCTGGAAGAGTTTCATGCCCACTGTGGTTTTACCTGGATAATCATATCCATTCTACCTGGACAGAAACACACAGAATCCCATGAAGCTTTGAGAGATAAGATTTGTTTGATTTTTGACGTTCTACACAATAGAAAACGATGGTAAACTAGGGGATCTCAGTTGGTGTATTCAGGTACTGTGGTCTAGAGATCATCCCTTTTGAGTTAACTGAGCTCGAAGTGTGAAACACAACACATTAACAAACACACACACACACACACACACACGCACACAAACTGAAAGTACAAAG